TTGGAAGGGGGGCTGTCGCGGTGGCTGGGTCTCTGCACGGCTGGAGCCCTGTCTGGCCATCAGAAGGAGTTCTGCAGAGTTGTGGGAGTTGGTGTTGAGAGGGGAGGAGAGGGGAGGAGACAGGACAGGACAGATGGCGGCTCTGAGCTGGAAGGGAGTGCCCAAACCAGCCTCCAGCAAGGGGAGGAAGGGCGGACCGCAGCCTCCGGCAGCTGGGCTTGGATGCTGGAGGGAGCATTGGCATGAGTGTGGATCTGGGGTGCTGTACACCTTGAGGCTGTCTCTGTGCCCGGCATGTTTGTGCACCCTTTAGCTCTGTATGCATGAATTTCTGCACGGGGTGCTGATGGGGAATAGGAGGTTCGGTAACACTGAGTGAGGAGCGTGTGGTCACCTCTGTGTGATGCCCATGGCACAGAGGCAGAGAGATTGGCGCTGGGAGGGGTGCACATATTGTGAGAGGTTCCTGTGCACTGCATCCCACGGGCACAAAGATGCCTGGACAGTGCTTTGCCCATTTGAGGGGTTGGCTGGATCTGAGCTGTGCCCTGTCTGCTGGTGGGTTGTAGGAGTTGCACTTTGCAGTGCTGCCATGGGGAGCAGGCTGTGCCCCCCGAGCTGTGTGCAGGGCCGTGCGTTGTGTGGTGCTGTGCTGTGTCTGTGCAATGCGTGGCAGGATGCCAGCTCTGATTCAAAGCGGAGATGCCATTGGCTTCACATCAGCGCTGGAGATCTGGGACAGTGCTGGAAGAGGTTCAGTGATGCATCTATCCTGGAAGCCAGCACAGCCTGTGTGGCCATGGGAGTCTGTCCCAGTAGCCAGCACGGCCACCAACAGTGGCTATTCAAGCTCTGCTTATTGCTATGAGCCACTCAGCTGTCAGGGTGGGACACATCCCCTAGCTGGCCCCAGGACAGCAGGTTGCCTCTGCCAAAAACTCAGAGTTTTGTCAGGTGGGACCTATGACAGACAGATGAGCCCCCAGTGCCTGGACAAAGGGAAAGCCCCAGCGTCTGCACGTAACTGAGAAAAGAGGAGGACATAAAGGACCCGGTCCAGGATCCATCTCCAACCCCAGGTCCATCCCCCAAACCTCCTGACAGCCCCCAAGCTGATGGATCCAGCTGGGAAAGGGGAGAGAGCACATGAATCCCCTTCCCTTTGCATGAGGGACAGTTAATTCCCCAGGTCCCGGCCAAACGGGACTGGTGCCAGGAGTCCTGGTCCGTGGTCACAGTCACGTCTCTGCAGAGGTCCAGTTCCCTGCCTGCAACTGGCTGAGGGTAAAGGAGCCCTGGTCCTGCTGCTCAACCCAGCAGTGAAGGTTTATTTGTCACCTTTGTCTCCTCTGTGAAGGACTCAGACATCCCCCTGGCAGAGAGGCACAGCTCAACAACCAGAGGTCCTTCGAGTTGCTCTGTCCCCAGACCTGCCTTCCCCCTGCACCCTGGACATGGAGATCAGGGTGGGAGCAGAAGGCAATGCCTTGGCTCCAGTGCAGGCAAGCTTCTTTAATCCTTAATACTGGTAGCTCCAGGGAGGGCTGAATGTCACAAATGCAAGCGATGTATCTGCTCAAGTGACAGAGACGCAGGGAAAAAAGCTCTGGCTTTTAGGGATCCCCTGATCAGCATTTGGGAGTGTGGTCCACCAGCACCTGGGGTGATGGGGATGACCCATCAACCAGTGCCACAGACAGCTGGGGAAACCCATCCCTACTGCTGGACACTGGTGTGACTGGGGGCTGGCCATCCCCCACAGGACCTGAGTGCAAGATGGGTGCTCAGGGATATCGAGGTGACATTGTCCAGCCACTGAGGTGGATGGGGAAAGGGTCCTCCTCCATAAACCATGGCAGAGGGAGGTTTGGGGCAGGCTGCTGCTGTCTCCAGTGGGCTGAGGACTGTTTTTAAAGGCCCCTTTCCAGAGCTGGGCGGCTGCAGCCAGCTGGGAGGAGGCTGGAGCTCCTCGCTGCAGTGAGGTCTTGCCAGGTTTACCCGGGGGCCTGGGGCGGGATCTGCAAGGTTACAGCTGCCTGGTCCCTAAATGAGTTTGTAGAGAGGCTTTTGGTGGATGTCCCCATGTGGGTCTGTGGCAGGGTGCAGGCTGTCAGGCAATGCGCCCTGCCATGGCGGCACAAAGAAACCCCACGTTGGATGGGGAGCATGGGGCTGTTTGCTGCCATGAGCAGCCTGGAGGGTCAGGATGGCTGGGGCACAGGCAGAGCAGGCAGGGGAGGCTGGGGGAGGATGAGACTGTGTGGTGTCCCCGGAGCGTCCCAGGTGATGGCAGAGCTGAATTGGAGGAGCCCCTGGCTAATGAAGCAGGGGTTGGAGGTTAGGATGGAGCGTCTTGGTGGGCTGGGAATTGTGATCCAGGGGGATGGGGCAGGAGGGACCCTTGTCAAGGAAAACCTTGGGAAGAGATTTTGCATCCCCCAGTGTGTGAGGCAGGTGACAGGAGGCAGTGTTCCCTGCAGTGTCACAGACGGGAGATTTTCCCAGGGTACGGAGTCAAGGTGGGGCTCCTCTAGCTTCAAAGCGCACCCAAGAGCAGCTCTAGGACAGCAGGAGGACAAACCCACTCACTGGAGTTCTGGGAAACTCCAGCAGGGCTGACTCTGCCCTGCCCAGCTGGGGAGCAAGCTGAGCCCACATGTACTTGCTACACCTGCCTGCCCACAGCCCCAGTGCTCCTGCCACCACCCTCTCTGCAAAGCTGGTCATCTCCATCTCCAGCCGCTCTGGCTCAGTGGGATGGAGTTGCAAGGGAGGTAGGTGGGATGTGGCATCTCAGGAGCTTGTTGGAAAACAACTTCTGCTGCCACAGCCCTACGTGGGGGTACAACTCCGCCACCAAGGTAGTTTCTCTGGGCATTGGCCTGCCCAAGCACCAAAGGGTCTGTCCTGCCTTCCCTGGTCTCTGGGCTGGAGATCCAAGCAGGGAGTCCTGGTGTGCAGTGTCTCCATATCCCTGGAGCCCACTCCCATGCTGTGCCACTGCCCCACACCTCCCCATCCAGGAGAGAGGTGACCCCCTTACCTGGTATGAGGACGGACTGGGGGGATGCCTCGGTACCATGCCTTGCTGCCCACCAGAATGGGACTGACCTCTGGGCATGGACCTGGAGGTGTCCCAGCATCTTTCCCAGCCTCCACACACTGCCGGTGGCCCGTCACAGGGCACACAGAGCTGGCATCCCACTGGTTGTGGGGACACGTCCATACCAGCCCCACTGATTTAAACCTGGGGACCCGACCATTATGCTCCCTGAGCTCAGGGAGTTTGGGTTGTGCCTGTGGTGGGAAGAGCCCAAAGCGCTGGTGGGAGCCAAACCCAGGCCCTGTCCCTGGCGCCGCAGGGCTCAGCAGCCTCCCATACCGGACAAAAGAAGCTTCTCCTTACGTGGCAGCGCTGCCCTCTCCAAGGCCACCCTGATGACACCGTGCCATCACAGGTAAGGACAGGGATAGAGCCTGCCTTCAGCTGAGGATGCCAGATCTCCCCTCCGGTCCCCCTAACAGTGAAGCCTTCATCTGTGCCAGACCCAAAAACAACTGCAGAAGGTTTCTCCACCCAGCAGCTGGAAGCAGGCCTGGAAACTCAGGGGCTGCCGAGTCATCACATTTTCCGTGAAGCAGCAAAGGCTACCGCAAGGAACAGGGGGATGGGGGATGCCCTGCCGACCGTGAGTGCTCAAAAGCTATGCTGGCCAGAGCTGGGGTGGGACTGCGGGGTCTGTGCAGCCAAACCACTACCTCCTGCAAGGGGGAGAGCCTCAGGCTAGGAGATTGTCCTTGCCTTGGGGCCCCGATGGGATCTTCCAGTCTGGAGCAGAGACAGGAAAGGGGACCTCTGACAGAACGCCCATCATTGTGGTGTCAGGTCTTGCTTATGCTGAGGGACAGTAGCCACAGTGCAGTGGCAAAGGCCCTGTCTGGCAAATCCTCCAGGCAGTCATCCTGGGCAGTGCCAACCTCAGACCAGAGCAGAGTCCACCGCCGGTTTGCCTTTGTACTCCATGTCCTGCTCTTTACTCCAGGTGTCCTGGGCACAGCACTGGTGGCACAGGGCTTATCTCCACTGAGGCATCTCCCAGATCTCAGCATGGTCCTCCACACCTGGGGGAAGTAGGGGACGCCCCCCTGGGAAGCACCAGCTGGGGTGAGGATGAGCAAGGTGGGCAGCAGAATGCATGCCTGTGGCACCCAAGCATCCCCGCTGTCACAGGGACTATGCGTGGTGACAGCCGGTGGGGACAGTACACAGGTGCTACTGGGACCTCTCTCTTTGCAAGGTTCACACGCCACCGTTCTCCAAACCTAAACCCTAGAGCACTGGGATGCTCTTCCTTCAACCCCTTACAAGTGTTTAATGATTT